ACTCGGTGTGTGTCCATTGCCATTAGGTTTACTATCTCTCCGATTGTAAAACTCTTGCGACCATCAGTGGAAAGAACCAAACTCTATACGAGAATGTAATTTGTTAGCAATTATGAGTTACAACAATAGCTCGAGTCGTCAAATACCTTCTTGTATATGGTATTGCTTATACAGGCCCTCATCTTGAGTCTCATGAGTTGCGAGTAATACATGCTATGAGTGCTGACCAGCGATGACAACATTAATTGTCCCAAAAGGGCGAAACAGTATAAGAATCCGCGCCAAATGGGTTGCGACGGGTCGGACATGAATGTGATAAACCAGTCCAAAACAGTCGGGTTTATAAACGTGATCAAAGCGCTGGATAGCCTGAATAGGACTAACACTATGACAAAACGCCAGTATGTCTTCATCAGTGGCATTAAAATGCCAGGACTTCTCTTAATCTCATTCTTCTGTCGAACGACATTAAAATTGGAACCACTTATGGGAAAGATTCTACTCTTCGGATATGACTTATAATAATGTCGGTTAAAATTCTTCAAATTATATTCGGTTATAAACTCTTCGTTTGGTGACCACATGTCCATCAGAGTTAACGGCCGTTTGTGACCCAACCGTACCAATGGGTTCACCCACCAGAAGGTCAGTATTGATAAGATGGATGCTCTGTTTCGCGGACATTCTTCCTGTCAATCAATGATTAACACTATTAATAAACAATCAATTGTATTGACAAATAACAACTTTGTAATTCCTGTCTTTTATGGTGACAATAGTGTCGGCAAAACACGACAGAATGAATTGGCAGATAATGATCGGACAGTAAGCCATTTGAGTGATGAATACAAGATCTGTGGTTTTCTCATTGATTCCTTCCTTTAAGATACGAGAAAAATAATTTTAATCAAAAGAAGCAATGAATCAATTAAAATGGTATAAAGTCTTTACATCTCTAAAAACGATTGACAATAAAGTCCTATAATTTAAAGATGAAGTGATGGTTAGTAGTAACCAGAGGGTGAATAAGGCCACTGATGTGTGCAATCCTTTCAATCGTTCATAATATATAAGAGATGCCGACAATATCTGATCAAACGATTCATTTAATTTGCAAACTTAATACTATAGATCGGCTCAAAACTTACAAAAGTTATTAATTTAATAACTGGTGTATAATAGGAAACGGGATTTAATGTGGATATGTTTGGCAACACAAGGATTAGCTCTAAAACACAAATGAATGCCAATAGTAATGACAAGATCTAAATCAATAGGATTTAATTGGATTAAACAATTGTTCAGAACTATCAGTTGTTTTTGATTACAAATTTTGTGATGTTTAGGAAAGTCCAGGAAAGTGGCACTCGTTTTGACTGAATTATACGGTAGGTCTCGATTGTGGACAACACCCAGAATATGGCACATGGAGTCCATGTGAGTGTCGTGTCGTGGAAACACTGAGTGAAGTCCGGGTTCTCTGTATTCCATGTTATGTCTAAGTCCTGAATAATTCATTCATCGATTAAACATAATTAAAAATCTTAAAATTCAAATTTATAAATGTTATAAGTTGAAAGTGGTAATTAATGTATGATTTTTAGTGCGATAAGTATGTGTGTGTATATTAATGTACCATGATAATGTCATTGTTCAATAGTGTTAATAAGTACCATTCTTATAAGTTATATAAGCAACAAATAAATAATGAAATGTTTAGTGCAAAGTCCAAATATTAATTAAATTTTAATGATTTGATTATATACTGTATTATATTTGTGTAAATTTGATTTAAACTAATTTTTATTTTGTTTTTTACTTTATAAATGCAATCATAAGTTAAAATCGATTAGTAATTACTTTATTATACGAATAAACTTTTCTTTAGAAAAATAAAAGTTAAAAAGTTTTGAAATGTTTTCGTAGAATAACATAAATACTGATAAATGATTAACATATTTCAAAAGCTATCAAAAAGTGTAATAATATAATTAACTTTTTTTAACACTTAAATT